AATTTTAATTGGCTCTATCTATGGCAAGGAGCCCCACTCTATAGTCTCACTTTAAGGGAAGAGCCCAACTCTATGGACTTGCTCTCGATGACATATATGAACTTAATTTTCTTTTTTAATAAGCTTATCTCTCATTTTAGAATTTTTTTAGGATTCTACACTTGTACCCTAGTATTTTATACTAATTCAATATATATGTATTATTTTAGATAAAATAAAACTCAAAATATCATATGGATGAAATTATACTCTAGCCCTTTCTCCTCATAAAAGGATTTATGGGTTGTAAATACATAATAAATCCTTCAAACTCCATGTTTACAATTTTTTTATTGTTAAAATTTTTTATATACATATTTTCAGAGCCAATCTCTATAAAATATCATTGTATTTTTTCTTTCTAAAAAGTACTCATTTAAGCATTTGCGAGTTCTCAAATCTATAAAAAAAATATTTTGCAGGTAATAGCTACCAATTATCTTGGCTTATTAGGCACCACTAGTTACTAACTACTAACTATCAATCACTTAGATTTTTCATATAAAGCTACAATACATCTTGGTTAAGAAGAATAAACTAAACTACCTGAGTTAAGAGATCAATCGATTATCAAATATATAAACCTTATTTCTAAACTACTTGAATATTTTGGGACTTATTATGAATAGTTTTAATTTATCTATTATCAATATCAATCCAATCACATCCTTCAAAAGAGGACAATGTGAAATATTATGGCTTCTTCTAGTGTTAATCACTTTGTTTTCACTTGCATTAGCCACTCCATGCCATCTATAATTTTATATTTCATTAGTTTTACATAAAATAATTTTTAGTGGTAGATAAGGTGATAATGATAGTGATAATAATAGAGTGATTATAATGGTTGTGAAAAAAAAGATGATGGTAAAGAAAAAGATGATGGTGTTAGAGAAAGAGATGGTAGTGCTTGAAAGAGAAAATGATGAATGAAATAGTTGGATGATATTGTAAGTGAATTATTACTTGTAAAATATTTTATAAAATTTTATGAGATTGAAATATTTTTTAATAAATAAATAAATTTTAAAAATTGACTATAAAATATTTTTTATTAACCAGGTTTCTTATAAAATATTTCAATAAATTAAAAACAAATATAAGAAAAATTTAAAAATATTTTACAAAAAAGAAAAACAAATGGACCCTAGTTTGTTATTAATCCTTTTCTCCTAGTCTTGTTGATCAGAGACAGCCAAAATTATTCTTAAACATATCAATCATTTTTTGCTGTTGTTTTCGAGTGATTTACATGCCAAGCTATTTAGACCACAGAAATTGTTTGGACCATCTAATTACGAACAATTACTTTGAGCAGAAATGTCTAGATTCTCTGATTCAGATCGTGCCCATCAATCAAAAACAAGATAAAGTTTTAGTTTCTAGGTAGGTTAGGCAATCAAATACTGGTGATTTAAGAAGACAAGAAATTAGGAATGGCTTGGAACTAGCAGCAGCAGCAGCAGGAGGAGGAGGAGGAGGACACTTGAGTCCCACATGCATGTGCATCAATTTTATGCATTAAGATAGACATCACAACCAATTCATTCCAAAATGTTTTTATTTTGATTAAATTGAAAATGATTCAAGTCAAATATGAACACCAAGCCCCTACAAGTCATCAGAACGACAACAATCCATTGGCTGGTGCCCTCAATTATTAGCTTGCTTTTCCTATTTTTTTGACCTCGAACAAGCAACTTTTTTCTTTTCTTTTATTTTTCATTTTGTAATCTATTTGATTTTGGAGATATAGTTGTGTGGAATTACGGAAATTCGAGTGTTTATGACATGCAAAACCATGTCTTTTAATGGTTTATTTATTTATTTATTAGATGGTAAGTATATGAATGCAGAAATAATGTACAGTATCGCATCATATACGCAGTCACTGGTGATGGATTTTCACTGACTCGTATTCTTTTATCTTCCCTAAAATTTTGATAACTACTTGTCACAAGTTGATATAACACATGCATGTCAACAACAGAAGAAATTCCATGCTAAGAACAAAAATATTAAACCCGGCTTGATTGATAATTCGGTTCAAAACTTAAATTATGAATTAAATGGGATGATTTGAGTTGATTTATATCAATCAAAATAATATTATTTTTTATTTTTAAAAAGTTAAAATAATATCATTTTGAATTTTTTGAAATAAAATCAAACAAGATTTTGATCTTGTTGACTGAATCGATGATTGACTTGTCAAGTTATTAGAGTACTAGTTCAACTGTCATTTATTTTTTTTGAAGATCAGCCAGACAAGTTTCCGGATCGACGAGCTTAATAATACTGAATCTCTCCCCATTTCCAAACGAACAGAACATCGCTCCACTTTCATCAAAGAGAGACGGATATATATATATATATATATAGACAAAATTAATCACATTATCTTGATTTATTACATGAAGTTGCAATTACAACAATGAGGTCTGCTGCGTCAAATAAAGAAGTGCTATATCGGATGAGAGTAGAAAACCAACCATTTGTCTATACAAGGCAGCCTTTCTGGCTGCTTTTCAATCAACAACACCATTGGCACCATCCTTTGGTACTATGCACGCTCAATGCCCTCATGACAAAGGAAACTATCAATCTTTTTGTTTTTTCATCTCTTATTGCCTATTGCTAGTGAATATTGTACAGTACTTTGCCACCCTATAATAAATAGTCAACTTCAGTGCTTCAATGATTGATGCTAGCACAAAGAAGATTTTACGACAATAATTTCTAGAAAATGTTTTTTCATGCCATGCTATAGTAAGCTCAAACCTCATCCTGTGCCTTTGCTCAATGACTATGCTTTTATGGCAGATTTGAGGCATACCACGATCAGATGCTCTAATTGCTAGCTTGATTGTTCCATGTGATCAAGCAACAAAATTCATAAACCTCAAATTAACTTGGAGCTAGCAGAAGATAAATCAACAGAACGGGAGAGAGAGAGATGTGAAAGGTAGCTAGGGTTAGCACCCCCCACCAAGAAGGCATTCATTAGAGTACAGAGTTATAACATAACACAGATTGGTCTGAAAGGAAAAACTCCAAACATGAAAACAAATATAGACACCTAACTATGTCAAATAATGTTTCTTCGTCAGGATTATAGCAGCTGCAGTTAAATATAACTCTGACAGAAGCCAAAAGGCAACATGTTTAACTGGAGTATGTTTCCAACAGGGCCTTGTGATAATCACAAATATTTTGATTCCTTTTATCTTATCATCTCTGTTAGAGACCGAAAGACTACTTCTTCACAAGGAATAGTGAGGCCCATTCCATGTTTAAAGCCAAACTCCTCTTCAGCTCTTTGGAGTAAGCTTTGAAACTCAGGATGATCCAACCATGATATTGGGATAATGTATCTGCTTCTGTTCTCTCCTACATAAACCGCAAAATGGCCTTTCGGTACATCATCAGGCAGGCCATCCTGGTCATAGCCATTTTTCTTTCCAAAACTTGAGCATCTTTTCACAATTTGTTTGAGAGCTGATGTTTGAGGAGATTTGTTTGATTTTCTTGTAGCCATTTGGTGAGTTCAGATAGCTTGTGCTTTACAACTTTATGGGTGATGAGAAGAAATTCAGGCGGTGAGGATGGACAAAGGGGCTAAAGAGAAGAGAAGTGTGGTAGGGAAGGACTGAAGGGAAGGAGAGGTATTTATGGAGAGATTACAAGCAGAGATGGCTGTTTCCTGTTTTTCTAGTAACAATGTCATGTGATGTGGGGACGAAGAACAGACCGAAGGGGTTTCAGAATACTGTATAAAAAGGCCATGCAGTATCCAAACCAATGTGGTTTGCCCTACCTTGTAGCCTCTTCTAAGGACATCAAGGGACCATCTTCCCCTCCAAGGTTTTCAAGTCTTCTCTCCTTGGACGCTATTCGAAGATTGCAAAACCTTTTCTTTCTTTCTTTTTTGACATATGCTAGCCTCTTGGGGGCAATTTTCTTTGTTGAGCCATGAACAGAAGAATTAACCTTTAAAGCCTGCGAATCTACCATGTCTTTTGTGCAATCTACAAGGCGTGGCATGCATTCTTGTCCACTATTTCGAATTTCATGGTGTCAAGTATTTAACTTGGTTGGGCTTGAATTACGCCGACTGACCCAGTGAGCCCTCCTGAAAGGGATCACGAGTCCCTTCAAGCAGATCAAGTTAAGCCCCACAAATTGAATTAAAGGGATGAACTTTTCCCAGTTTTTTAATGTTCTTTTACCTGGTGCCCAAATGTTGTTACAAGTTCAACAGTAAAACCACAGTGGTTTTTTAATGACCTTCTGTTAAAAGTAAAGACAATACCTGTTTGTGTATAAATATAATGTTTTCTATCCGTTTGTTTTTATGTTTTTTAAAAAATATTTTTTATTTAATTCAAATTACTTTATTTTCAGTTTTTTCAAATTATTTTAATATTATATGTTTTTTTTTTAAATATTTTTTATTTAATTCAAATTAATTTACTTTTAGTTTTTTCAAATTATTTTAATATTCTAAAATCAAAAATATTTTTTTTAAAATAAAAAATATTATTTTAATATATTTTCAAATAAAAAATATTTTAAAAAACAATTATTATCATACTCTCCGACATCTTCAAAAATAACCTCACATTTTAAACAAATTTAAGAATAGATCTTATCTAAAGATTAAGCTACCTCACATTTTAAACAAATTTAAGAATAAATCTTATCTAAAGATTGAGAGTTGATTTGAGACAACCATATTTCTTTAAAAAAAAAACCTCAAACAAAATTATTTTAATAAAAATAAATGATTTATTTTTAAAACCCAATTGGTTGGTGACCTACAAGGTGGAGGTCTTATAATTAGAATTTGTGGAACATGATGTTTCGAACATCTAGTCGATTTTCGCATGCATGCATATACAAAATTCCAAAACCATTTCGAAGAGTTTTTCTATTTATATTGAAAAGGATATTTTAAGTTCGAAACCTTGCTGAGTTCCTCAAAAGCATTTGAGAAAGTGACTGAACTAATACGAGGAACAAGGTAAGCTTTTTTGGGTGGATGGTTCGGATAATTACTTGAACCACAAATTTCCATCCAAATTACCTCAGAATGCATGCTCAGTCCAGTGAGAAAAGAGTCTCATCAGTGCCCGCAAGCTAATCATATCCTTCTGCTAAGGCAAAATTGTTTCTTTTCTGGAGGTGCCTTTCCATGGCATGGACAAGCCTTCCAAGAGAATTTAGAGTCATTCTCAGCTTTTCAAAATTTGCCAAATTTTAGACATGTTTAGCATGATGGGCTCTTTCTCTTGCCAGGTACCACAAATTTGTCACAATTTTAGGACTGCCCATGTGTGTCCTGCCAAACTCAAAACCCCAATAATAAGCACACAGCCACATATATGAAATGGAGCAAGCAGGCATTATATTCCTCCCAAACTTTGAGCACCACTACTGTGTTGGGATTGCGTGACCATTTAAGATGAGATAATAAAGATTATCTTTCTTTTCATGTATTAGATAATATTTTTTAAAATTTATTTTTAACAGTACATTAAAATGATCCAAAAATACTAAAAGAACTTAAATTTTAAACAAATAACGTTTTGGCAGCAAAACCAAAAACAGCCGACACCAGATACTCTCCCATGTTCTGAGGTTCATCAGAAGGGCAACGACGGCAAGCAACACCGAAAACAGAAACTTGTGCTAAGTGCATCACCAACATCACATGCCGAAAAACTAATTTAAGAGGCACTGCTTATTAATCTTCTGAAATCAACCAGGGATGCTACTGTTGCCAAAACTTCTTTATACAAAAGGAAAATGAAAGATATTAGAATGTTGGATTAGACAGAGTAAACTGTCAACATCTTGTGAATGAAAATAAGTTGGCATGCGAAAAATACAAAATAGTGAATGGCCCATCCTAGTTACTCAAGGGCAGAAACCATCATTGTGATCAAAAGAGGACATTTTTCTTTATGTGAATGGCAACCCTGTCCAATGATTACCATGTGAAGGTCATGTTACTCTTGTCTTTTGAATTTATTTATTTTTACCTCGAACGTTAGTGTGCTACTCCTGTCTTCAGAGCGCTTAATACAGACAAATCAGTAAGGACTACGGTGATGCAACACCATCCCAATTGCCTACGACACCTTCAGCCACCATCCCAATTGCCTACGACACCTTCAGCCATCTGCAACTTTCCACTGAAAATCATCCGAGAACAAATTCCTATTGAACTATTTGACAAGTTAGCCTTGTTGAGTTGGGGCTTAACTTGATGAGTTGATTTAGGTTGGATTGATAATTGCATGATGTAGTGTCCTAAACAAGAATGGAATGTGTTGATATATTTTGCTTAGGAAAAGAGACTTTCCTCCTTGGAGTTGGACTTGGAAGCATTTTTTCTTGAAATAATAATAATAAAAAAACTTCCTTTTCTAATGAAGGACTGTGTTGCTAGTATAAGTAGAATGTGTAGTTACTAGTTTGTGTGCCTCCCATATTGATGGTTTGTGGTGGCAACCACAGAATTAGCGATGTGGTATTTTTTTCTTGTGAACGATTTCTAGGATGTAACTGGGTTTTGGCTAGTGAGGTGGTTGTGCGTGTTTAATTTGTTCTTGAAAATCCCATATTTGATAGTGGGGTTTTGTAGAGCAGGCTTTGCCAAACCACATTATATTTTGTGTCCCTTTTATTTTATTTAATTATTTGGTTTGCTTGGGTTTTGCACAACAATTGGTAACAGAGGAGGTTGATGGAAGTCTTGTGCAAAACAATTGAAGATGGTGAGGGCACAAACTGGCGAAGAAATTTGAGATAGAACTGCTTGATTGGATAAACAATTTTGTTATTTGGCAATGCACCTTGAAGGATGTTCTAACAACTCAAAGAGACTAACTTGAACAATTGAAGGATATGATTATAATTATTATTTAGTCTGTTTTATCAAATTCTGGACCGATAATGGATTACCATAATTGAGAATGCTTTTATTGTCATGGAAAAGGCCATATTAGTACCACTGTGGCCATCTTAGTACCATTGTGAGAAGATGAAAGCCGACTTAAATGAGCTGATTTAATCGCAAGAAGTTTGGAGACGTTTTTTTTTTTAAATGAAAGAAGGATTCTTTTCCTAACAAAGGCCCCTATTGCTAGTTTATGTAATGACTACTTTATGTTTGCCTCCATATGAATCTAGCATAATTCTTAGATCAAAAGCTAAATAATAGGTATCTAGCATGAAACTGTCGTGAAGGCATCAGCACACTAGAGCACTATGAACTATGAAGGCTTGAGAATTTGCCAACTCATAAAATCAGCCTGGTATGACATGCCTTCTACTTACCATCCTTTTTCTAAGACATGCATACATCAAGCAACATTCTAACCATTTGCTGTCGCAAATCATGAGAGCAGAAGAGAATTACAAAGTAATTTCTCTTTTCTGGTCATCAAGATACTAAGCCATGCATTGTTAATAACATTCACCCATAATACTTTGGTCTTTACCAAAATTAGTAAATAAAACTAGAAAACTAAAACTAGAGTCCGCCATGCATTGTTAATAACATTCACCAATAATACTTTGGTCTTTACCAAAATTAGTAAAGAAAACTAGAAAACTAAAACTAGAGTCCCTAGATGTGGGTTAGTCCACGTTTTTTACATCTAATTACCACTAGCGATTTGTCTTCAACCATCCAAGTTTGATGATGAAACGCCAAAGTTAGTGTGTCGCAATCATGTACATTCAGAAATCATACCGTAGGCTAGTTTTGATGGTTGAGGTGGTCCATCTAACATGCTCAATTGTCTTCTCAGCTTAAGAATATGAGCTTGCACCTATCATATTTCATATATCATCAGAAAAGGTATCCTAGCAAGTTCTAAACACTGGAGCAGTCTGTCTGAAACAATAGAAACAAGCATACAAGATAAAGCACCAACAACTAAATAGCATATGCAATTAGGAAAAGCTTATAAAGTAAACCAATAATACATAAACAAAATTTGGAAAATGATATAGATCCAATATTGCCTTTTTTCTCAAGGACACATTTTGGAATGGAGAGGGGTCTAGCATTTTCCGATAGCCTTTAAAGTCCAACCAAGAAAGAGCATGTAACAGAAAGTAGCAAAGAGACGGGTAGTCATGGCTAACCCCCCCTCACCCTAAATGTACATACAGAGCTAACATTCTTAAATAAACATCTCAGATTATTCAATTATACAGCATGCACATTCACAACTACAGGTAAAACCACACACAATGACTGTAAGCAATTATGAATCATTTGATAAAGTCAATTAGCTAAGACTAACCTGCTGACGAGCAGATGCAAGTTTCAAAAGCTCATCTGCCTCTGAAAAATTTATGAACCAGTGATTCAATGGATGGTTTTTGGCATCATATTTCCCTTTCACATTCATATTTGGGCTTGGAACTGCAGTAGTCCAAATGTTAAAATGTAACCACAAAGAAATCACTGCTGAGAAAATTTACAAAGCGTGAAATTTTACCAGGAGCAGGCAAGTTAAATCCAGCAGGAAGTCGTGGCACATATACAGCAGGATGATTCAGCACGCGTGCCAAAAAGTTCTCTGAGGGGTCAGGAAAGACAATCTCATTATAAGTTTCCACAACAACAGGTTTCTTGGTTGACTGTGGACCACTTTCAGCATCAGGATACAACTTCAATAAGTGGAACCTAATTAATAAAAATTAAACCACCATTAGCGAGATAATCTCCCTCCCTGGTCAAGGAAAAACACCAAATTAAAAACTTAAACTACTCACAAGTCCACATGCTTATCACAGACATCGTCATGAAAAAGTATGGAGATACAGATTTCAAATTCACCCCAGCCACATTCAGATAACTCAAATGGTGGAGATTCAACAACTCTTATAGGGTTATCAAAACTAGGATGCAATTGAAACACGACTTGCTTTATCACTACACCAAGATCCTCATTGGTCGCTCCGCGTACGTACACTGTCCATTTATGAGACTGTAACCTAATTCATAAAAAAAATAAAGAAAGAAAGAAAGAAATAAAAACCAAAGAAATATCCAAAAACCATTTAAGCAAACATAAGAATGCAACTTACTCATTGGCCTTTTTACCAAGGTAAAATGCCATAGTTCCATATACCACCGGAACACTGATTTCAACATCTTTAAGCCTCTTGTTTTCATCCTAAATCACAACATCAAAATTAACACACCTAGTTTAACTAAGAATAAAATAATAATTAACAAGCTTATTAATTCAAAATAAATAAATAAATAATGAGATATTATAATTCTCACAACAATGCATGGTCCATCAACAACAAATTAATCTCTCCACACATCTATCACACAAACTGCAGCAATTTTTGACAAATCACGATGCCCGTGATCAAAAATTAATCTTACTGACTGTAACTGTGCATGCGCACACCCTGCTTTGATTTGACACTTGCAAATCTGATTAACTATAAAAGTAGTACATTTCTTTGCATGGGATTTCATTAAAAAAAGGATTTTTTTTTATGGGTATGATCAGCTATAAAATTCTGGAATGACTTTAGAAAAATGAGATTTCAAAAATGGAAAGTGAGAAGCTGTTATGTTAAGGGTGAGTTATTATTACCTGGTTTATGTTGTTGTCGGTGTAATCAGTGGGTATGATGCGTTGAGGCTTTGCAGCAGACTCAACATCTTCTAGTTGAATGCTTGTTTTCGAGGGTAATGGAGTCGTCGTGTGGGGCATTTTACTACCACTTCGTGAATGGAAATTTGCAGGAGTTAGGGTTTAAGGATTACTCGCTACCATATTTTTGGGTTTTGGATAAAGTCTTCGTCTTTCTTGAAAAGAAAAGGAAGTGGATTGTTGTGGTAACTATCTTTTAGTCCTTGGATATTGAAGAACTCTACACTTGAGGCCCTATTTTAATTTTCATATGGCTTCTAGCCAATAGAAGTTAACGAGACCCTTTTTTTTTAATTTTATCAATATTCTACAAAAATATTTAATTATTTTTTAAAAAATAAAGACTTAAAAATGGGCATTTCCTTTGAATTTGTTGATCAATTAACAATTGGAGCCTTACTAGTTTTTTTGAAAACTGTAGAATTGAATTTTTAAACTATAGATACTAAAGTAAAATATTGTCTGTTACAAGGAAGGGTCTAAAATATAGTTTTTCCACGTTTTTTTTCCTTCCCTCAGACGTATGTTGACATGTCGTTCGCTAGCGCTGGTATCTCCGGATCTATCTGTCATCGTCCATACCAAAAACTAATGGGGCTGGCACTAGGAAAACAATGGCCATTACTTGGAAACCAAAAATAATCAATGGTCCCATCAATAATCATAGAAAAAGAACACCGCATCCGATGGCGATTTTATCATAATTTTTCAAACATGGTATTTCATTTGGCTATTTTTACTTATTAGCAAGTTTTTTAAAAAAAAAATACCGGCAAATTAACTATCTATATAAAAAATAATAATAATATAATATGTACAAGTTTTTATTAAAAATTATGACATTTAAAAAAAAATCAAATAACCAAAGAGAAAAAAATATTAAAAAAAATTATGAAAGCAAATTAAAAACTCTAATTATGATATCATTATCACCTTTAAAACATTCTTGATATAATAAATTTAATGATATAAAAAATAATCACCAACAATAATATAAAGATACTTTACTTGTCTTTTAAAGATAACAAGTAACTCACTTGACTTTAAAAATAAATGTATCTTATTCCAGTCATTGTTTATCTTTATTTTTGTTATTTAATTAAGATTTTTTTTATGATACTAATAGTAGTATTGTAATCCAAGATTTGGTGTACCTTTCGGTATTAACTTTACACTAAAAGACCTATAAAATTAATTATCAATAAAAAAGTCTATGACATGTGAAGAACAATAATTTTGGATAAATGTATAAGCTATTTCAAAAAATTATATTGAAAAATATACATAATAATTGAAGAAATTATTATCACCAGAGACCTAGCCGTCTGCATTCACATTGCAAGATTTTGTGTTCAACCAGGCACGAGTCTACCTGGGAACAAAGGAGGCTGTCTCGTGAGATACGCGTTTTGAACTTGACTTTCATATTTTTTAAATCCCAGAAGGATTCTTACGCCTAGAATCGGCATTTTGATTAGATCAAACTGTGGATTCCTATTTTAATAGCGAAGGTCCCACTCCATAATTTGAAGATGGTCGAACGTAGGACGGCCTCTTCCACCCATTGACAACTACTCTCAGCTTCTTGGCCGTCAAATCAAATAAACAAACGGATTCCAGATATCTTAACAGGGTTAGAAATGATTATGATAATATAATTATCATGGCTAGCAGTATAGGCTAATGATCAGCCATCAGCCAGCACTCTCCGAGTCATCAGAGATCAAAACACGCAGTAATCTAGATCACACCATTCACTTATGATAATCTCCTATTATCAACAAAAACATGCATCGCAATGGGTACCACCACCAACAAGAGCCGTGGGAAACTAACTGGGTAGAAAGCAACATCATCGCATCTTCCTGCTATCTGAAAATGAAAGGAAACAGAATAGGATAGAAACCTGAAACCATTATCACTTGACAAACTTTGGTGAGGTATCAACTCTATTGAGAGTGTAACAACCTGAGGAACAAAAATCTTAGTGGTAACTAGAAGAAATCAAAACGATAAATGATTGTAGGAATGGCGTAAAATAAAATCGAAATCCCAGATGGTTACTGAAAAGACGAAAAGCTTGTCAACATTTTGATTAGCAGGACAAATCACAACTATGATCAATATTTTTATCACTTCGATTTTACAAAGCACAAGAATGGTACTAGAAAAAGAGTTCACTGAGCTCTTAAGAATGTTACATTTTGGAAAAGGAATCTGAGATGCTCCGTAATACAGAACCCTTCAATCTCCGAGACCATTGAGCTTGAATGAAGCAACCATTCACCCCTGGCCATCTGGTGTAGCAGGATAGCACCACCAAATCAAATATTTGAAGCATTCAGGGCCATTAATTTGCATTGTTCATTCATGGCCAGAAGTTGAGCCTCTTTCTTATCAAGAAGGGCACTCAACCTCACATTCTCTTCCATAAGTTTCTGAACTTCAGTCTCTTTCTGCATTTTCTCACCCTCCAATTGTGTTGTCTTCGCAACTAGCCTGCTTCACAACAAAATGAGATGCTTGACAAATATGGTAATCCAGCTGAAAAGCTATAAAGGAGACCAAGAAAAGGGATAAACTAATGTTGAGAGAGGCAGTGAGGGAGGGAGAGAACTAGCCTGCCAACTTCCTATGAATCGAGTGCAGACAAATACGAGAGTGTAAGCATACAATTCAAGTAGAGGACTTTTACAGACTGGAAACCCTTGGACTGCGAAGCACAGTGATAACACAGATAGTACCACCAAACATACAGGTCATTGGCTATTTGAAATGTGATTAAAGATCCATATAGATTAAGCACTAGGTTGACTACTAATCATAATCCAGAATGTACTTGGATATCCCAGCAAAGTATATTGTAAAATCAGTAGCCTAATAACATCATCAATGATGCAAGAGCTGACATAGACATCATTATAATTCTAAACAACCAGAATCATCACCAATACCCAACAATTTATGTTATCCAAGAAAGAATTTACAAAACCATAATCAGAAAAGGTTTTGAAATTTGATCACAAGTGATTAATGAATGTGAGTGATCAGCAAACCGTTCAGGTAAATATCAGTTTAGGTTGGCCATGTCACCATACCTAATACTATTAGTAGAATATAGGTTCAAATCTCACACTATAGTTATCATAAAATCTAGAACTACACTTGTTGATAAAGAAAACGTGTGGTGAAGCTTATCATCTTATTTCAGGAATATCTAAGTAGACTGACCGTTCAAAAAGCCTCTCAATAGTTTGAAATTGCCTCTCTGATGAAAGAAGTGTCTCTCTGACACTAATGAGACTGCTAACATAGGATTTTAGAGACTCGAAGTCCCTTTTCACTCGGCAAAGCTCTTGCTCATTTTCTGCTGCGCGCTGCCTCTGCCTAGATGTCTCTTCAACCAAATCTTCAACCCTCTGCCGCATCTCATTCAGAATAACATTTGTACCCAGAGCAAACCGCTCCATCTCCTCTAATTTCAAAGACATGTTCTCAATTTGGATTGCTTTCCTTCTAATTTCTTCCTGACCTAAAGTTACCTTATCTTTCTCCAGTGCAGTTTCAGATTCTGCCATTATAACTCTTTTAACAAGACCTTCCATCACATCGGATACCATCTGCACAGACTTGAGTAATTCACCAATATAAGCTTCGTCTTGTTCATCATAGCTTCCTTGTTGCTTTCTAAGTCTAATACATGATTCTTCATCCGGGCCAAATGAAGAAAGATCAACATCCCGGGACCAGCCGGACAATGGAGTTCCATTCTTGTCAACAAGCCCCACTCCTTCTAATTCCTTTATTCCACATGATGTGTGTGCTAACTCAGGAACAGCAAAGACTCGTGCTTTTGCCTTTAAGTAAGTCAACAATGTCGAGGTTGTTTTCACTCTTCGCCAAAGAACCTCCATCTCCTTTGCATGTTCCTCCGACCCTTGTACACAAGCCTTCACCTCCATAAGCTTCACTTGTAACACATCCACTTGAGACTGTCGCCTTTCCATCTCCTGCTTCCACGTTTCCTGAGTTTCTTCAACTTGCAACGTCAAACTTGACAAGTCGACATCCTCTCCTGCCATACCTTCCCTGAGTTGCAAAAAAAAAAAAACCCAGAAAAACAGAAATTCAAATTTTAGATTTTATAAACCTAATGCCAATCGACAAACCAAACCTGTCAGCTTTAGTACATAACAACACATCATAAACACAAACTCTAGTACCAACTACCAACCACGGTGAAGATAGTTATCAAGCACCAAGCTTTGTGAACAACAATGCAAATTCAAGCTCATAACAAGGATATTAAGCAGCAAGATCATGCCTTTTTCATGTCAAAAAATCACCATACATTAAAATCACTCCTAATTCTCAAAAAAAATAAAATTAAACCAAAACAGTACCTTGAACCTTAATTAACAAAACCCCAATTGAACACGGATTACCACTCCCTTACCCTGATACAAAAACCCACAAAAAATTCACAGATCAAACCTCAAATCACGACAAAATCACAAAAGGATATTCTTGCATCAAATGAGACAAATAAGAGACAATTTGAAAGGACAAAGCAGATATTTTTAAAGGGTACAATACAAAATGTGTAAGAAACAAAAGACAGAGAGTGAAAAACAAGAGTAGAGGATAAAAAATTAAGAGAAAGATGAGACCTCTTTTTCGGGGTGCTGCTTCGTGGAGAGATTGACTGCGGGCAGAGTGATTGATAAAGGAGTGAGTTTTGGGTTTTGTTTAAGGTATAAAAGAGAAGAGGATGTCAAGGAAGAAAGGGAAAATGGAAAGGAGGTTGTTTCATGTCTGTGCAATAATGATTTTTTCAAAGTAATTTTTATTTATAAATATATTAAAATAATTTTTTAATTTTTTAAAAAGTATATTTTATATCAAAACTATTTAAAAAATAAAAATAAAAATCGCTTTTCAACGGCGTTCCATGCTGTCACTTTTGCTTTGCTTTGCCCTCACCGAATCAATAAAACGACGCTGTCTTTTGACGTGCTTTTATTTTCTTTCCTTCTTTCTTTCATTTCAACTTTTCTTTTCTCTGTCGTCTTCTACTTTTCTAAACTAAATAAATCTATCCTTTGCTATTAGAGGATGATTAAAAGCTCGGTGGTTTCTGGTTTTTTATGATTTTTATTTAAAAATATATTTAATTAATATTATTTTTATATTTTTTATGATTTAGATGTAATTATATTAAAAATCTTACAAATAACCTTACAAACTTAATTTTATAATTTTTTGTGACCGTGCAGGCTTTTTAAATAAAAATTATTGTGTATCATAATAACAAATACATATGTAGTTTTATATTTAATCTTACTTGTTATCAACATAATCTGATTTTAACAATCCGAATATTTTATTTTATATAATTATCTGTTCAAATATTATGGTAATTATATAATTATTTTTATTAATACTATTTTGTATTTTAACAATAATGATAAGGAATTCTTTCTCAATGAAAGAAGGTTATCGACTCAGAAATAAGATTTGTATATTAAAGTATTAAAAAACTAAATTATTTCTTATTAGCTTAAAACGCATTTTACATTATACTTATTAAAATCAATTAAAAAATATTATAATAAGACGAAAAAAAATCAATTTAGGATTTGTATATTCCACATCATTAATCAACATTCACATTTAAAGTAATATTACAAAGTTGTACTAGTCAAGTTCTTGATTTTGTTGCTGAAATGCTTGATTGAAAAAAAAAAAAGATATAAATCACATATAATTCAACTATTGTACTGTTACTATATTTTTAAACAAATTCGAAGATGATCGGTCAAGCATTGAGACAATTTCCCTACTTTTTTTTTTATTTCTCTTTTTTAATGAAAAAAATATTAAATGTACCTCTTACATCAAAGCTTATAACAAGAGCTTTTGATTGGTTTAAACACTTATAACAAGAGCTTTTGATTGGTTTAAGCAAAAACATTATACATATATATATATGTCATAGAAAATTATGATCTAAATTTTTCGATTTAAATTTTTCTCTTGTTTCATTTTTTTTATACAAACAGGTAACATAAAAAACTTAAACATAATATAATTAGCAATTAATCGCTTCATTTGCTTACATAGTTATTGTAAATTATTGTTGTTTTACTTTTATATCGTTCATCGTGATCCATGCTATAGAGTTCAATTAATATTTTAGAACAATACTTTAAATATTATATAAACCTTTATACATTTTAAATTACTTTTATAAGGATCCTTATACGCAACTTTGAACATTGCACTTGGTACTAACTTTACACTAAAAGACCTATGAAATTAGTTATCAACAAAAAAATCTATGACCCGTGAAGAACAATAATTTTGGATAAATGTATAAGCTATTTCAAAAAATTATATTGAAAAATATACATAATAATTGAAGAAATTATTATCACCAGAGACCTAGCCGTCTGCATTCACATTGCAAGAATTAATTAAAAAAGAATGCTAGTATTATAAATTAAGAAAAATCATAAAAACAGTGTGCGCGCGCGCTACATATTTATTTTAAAATCTTAATTACACTCCACATTTAAAAAAAAAATACCACATAAATTATATTTTTATTTAGGCCTTATTTGAAAAAATAATAAAAATGTAAATGAAACGGAACTCAACTTATAGATTAAAATCATTTAAGAGACCTCAAACTGAATTGTTCTGATGTTATAATTATTTTTCTTGTTCAATTTTAAATTAAAAAAATATGTAATATACATCTTAAATTAAAGCTCATAGGATATTACATCTCAAAAAAAATATTCAAAGTATTTTGTTGAAAAAAGTTGTGTAATTTCTCTCTCATAGTTAGTAGTGGGTGTAGAATCTCTTTCTTCTTGGCAGCCACCAGCACCGGAGTATAGAAAGAATTAGAAGGTGGTAGGGGTTGCGAAGTCAAATCAACCATTCCATTCCGGATTTAGGCTTTGGAATCGGTCTCGGTCTCGGGTGAGATCTTATCGATCTGGGTGAAAGACTACAGCGGGTGAAAGTTAGACACGTGCACTTGGCTTTCTGTCACTTTCCAACGTAACAAACATAATTTTGTAAAGGCAATATTTGTTTCGTGGGAAGTAGGAACTATTTTTCAATTTGTTTCATCGTTATTTACTATTTAAAAAAATCTGGATAATAAAAATTATTATTTAGTTTAAAAAAATTAGTTTGTTTTTTATTTTAAGAACTTGTAAAAACATAATATATATATATATATGTTATTATATTATTGGTTGATCATATCAAATTTAATTATTAATTTTTTAATTATTATATATTGTGATATATTTTTTTAAGTATATTATTTACAATTTAATTTAATTTAATTTTTATATTAATTTTGATATTTATTTTTTGAGCTTATTTTTTATCATTTCTTTATTTATTGAAGTTTTTATTTATCATATTTTTTTATTTAAAATAATTTATAAAATTTCATTATTTTTTATTTTTTAAAATATAAAATTTGATTTTTTTAATTTCTATTTATTTTATTTAAAATAATTTATAAAACTATAATTTTTTTAATTTTATTCTCCTTCAATATTTTTATCTATCAGATTGGTTATTTTCTTTTTATAAATTTAGGGGAAAAAATTAAAAAATTACTTTTCCATTTATTTTTTCATGAAATAATAAAATATTAAAAAAATATTTTTTAATTAATTTTTCATAACACTATAAAATATAAAAATAAAATAAATTTACTTTTCAAACAAAAAATCCACCTGGTATCTTTATTTAAAGGTCAGATAGATTTTCTTAATATTCTATTATCTCGTATTTAAATCAAAGGAGCAAGAGAATATTATTTTTTGTGAAAATTGACTAGAAAGATTTATAAAAATTAAAATTAAAAAAAAATTAGGATAATTGTGTTGATAGAGAGACCGTTGTCCTGTTTATGAAATTAAACCAGCAATTGTTGGATTTTAATTTTCATGTGTTATGAATGATTTGTTTTATTTATTTATTTATTTTTGTAAAAGAAAAACTAGCAACATTGGATTTCGAAATTAACGGTGGTGATTTTCCCTTAACTATACACGTTGGAGGCATCACTCTCAAGGCTTATATTTTCCATTAATATCAAAGCAATTACTTATATTTTCCATTTCAACATCGTTATATTTTCCCCCGTGCCATTCCATCTCACAGATTCTAGCCCTTCCATAGAACAAACTGCTCTGGCTAAAAACATTACACATAGCTTCTGCAAATCTTCATGAAGATTTGGTGCAAAAATACGAGACAAGGCTTAATTGACAAGACTACTGCCCTTGTGCTGTAATATATAACATGAGATAATTGCAATGGTCCTTCACCAAGGTAACGAAAAATATAAACAGACAGCACAGTTTCTTCAATCAAAACCCGTCACGGACTAAACATCAAACAGCTTGACTACATCACACCAATTACTCTTTCATGTCAGACCGAGAAATTGTTGATTCTTTCTCCTAAACCCTCGTAGCCCAGTTTCTCAAATCTCACAAGAAACCACTTATCGGAGCATTTTGTAGCATCAAGTCCAAAACGAATTAAACTGAGGTAAGCAATTTTGGCCTAAAATGGCAACAGCTGAATCAGGATTAATAACTTGTTTCAATTACAGATCCAATTTTTCAATTCCAGCCCATAGAAGATCTAAATTCCTAAGCAAAGGAAATCAATACAAACAAAATAGAAGACCCGATAAATCCTAACCCCCAAACCCATACAAAGTACGACCTTGCCTCTTAAGAGCATAGACAACATCCATGGCAGTGACAGTCTTTCTTCTAGCATGCTCTGTGTAGGTAACAGCATCACGAATCACATTCTCAAGGAAGATCTTCAAAACCCCTCTAGTTTCCTCGTAGATCAGCCCACTAATTCTCTTCACACCTCCTCTTCTTGCTAGCCTTCTAATTGCTGGCTTTGTGATTCCTTGGATGTTATCTCTCAACACCTTCCTGTGCCTCTTTGCACCTCCCTTTCCTAGCCCCTTCCCGCCCTTTCCTCTTCCCGACATCTTCGCAAACTTTCCTGTTTTCTCGGAAAATCTAACAGGGGAGAGCTTCTTCTATTTTTTTATGTGCTTGAATGGTGATTTGCATGGAGAGGTTTGGCAGGGTATTTATACGAGGCAGAGCTCTTCGGAAAAGGCATTTGTTTTGGCGGCAGAGCAGATTTGTGTTTTTGGTGGTTTAATATCCACCGCCGGTTGGTTATCATCTGACGGATGTTTTAACGAGGTTTAAGGATGCCTGAGATTGCCAGCATGGCTTCCTTCTAGCTGTAATATCCGTAGGATTATTCTATCCATGGTTTAATCCGCGTCAAGCGGGTGCTTTTGTAATAACCGTTTGTTAAATCGATCTAACGGATACGAAGATAAACAGGATATAGGATTGCCAGCGTGGAGTTTTGCCTCCTTAGATTATTTATTCAAGCATCTACTAGTGTAATTACGCTGTTTCTACTCTTTAACGAAGAACAATTTTAAAACTCACCCAGGATCGTTTAAGATAAGGTTTGAGTTATGAATTAAGATAGTTAATTTAGATATCTAAAATATAATTTAAATAAAAATTAAAATGCTATTATTTTTACAAAAAATAAAATATTTTTAATACAAAATCAAATAAGTTGTGGGTTAATTTAAATATTTAACTGAGTCTAATCATATAAATTCTCTTGTTTTTTAATCTATATCAATTTAGTTTTTGAGTTAATTTATTTTATCAATTCTATTTTTAAAATTATACAATAAAAAGAAAAGGAATAAAAATAAAAACTACATATTAATTTTTTTTTCAGATTCATAATGCATTTTATTTTACTATATATAATGCATAGTATAATGATAGTAAACTTTACTTTTTATTATTAATATGAGTATTTAGATTAGTTTAGGTGTATCTCAATTAATTTTATAAATTTTAAATTTAATAATTATATAAAATTTTAATTATTTTGAAAAAGTTCAAACTTGTGACTTTTTAATTAGTGATAAAATACCCTTAAACTTATAAGAAGTTGCCTGAATGAGTAATAATTTTTCTCTAAATTTAAAGATATCTATTTAAATATATATTAACAGATTTGATAATTTATAAATAGTTACTGTTTGGATCGATTTTAGGTGTTTGGATTGAGTTTAGGTGAAACTTGAAATGATAAAGTTTTAGAGAGATAGATATCAAAATTTATTTAAATCTGGGTGAATAAAAAACTATATTCCTACCATAGCTATACATAAAAATATTTAATTTAATTTAATTCATTATAAATTATTTTCCCTCTTCTTATATGCTGCCAGACAAATTAATGCTTGCTATTTTTAATATTTATAGTGTTGTGATTGGTTATTTATAAAAGAAATATACTCAAAAAAATTGAAGCCCGGACGTTAATTTAGCCAATATCTGTCTAGAATTTATAATATTGAGTATTCCTTGAAACTTGTTTAATTTCCAAGATTTGAGTAATTAGTATAATTTACTGTATAGTTTTTAAACTCGGTGGTTTAATGACCTGGTCCAAATTCAAGGTTATGAGGTTTGACCAAGTTATTTGATCATTCCAGATCAATTTTGGTTTTTTTATAAAGTAAACTACTTTGTTTTTGTTAAAAAAAATAATTAACAAATTATAACTGAATTTTTTATTAAAACTTATTGGGCTCAAATTTTTATCTTTTATTTTATTTTTTTAAACTCGACTAGATTTTTAGTTGAACATCCAAAAGTAACTAGATTTTAAAACTATGATTTATTGAAGACATGGAAGAGATTGCGAACTTCAGGTGATCACTTATATAAAAGTCATCTATCTAAGTTGCTTAATCACGTAATCATGTGTATGAAGCAGCAACCTTTTAATCAACGATTGCATAACTGTATATTTGGTGATGAGGTTGTATAGTATTTCTGCAACATTATTTTTTAATTATATATATATATATATATATATATATAGACACACACATCACGACTTCAAGATTACAAAAAATTATATAAAAAAATTAATTTGATGTTTTATCAAATTAAAAACAGTTTGAAAAATATTTTAAAAAACAAGTTAAATGGCATAAATATAGCTATAAACAATACAATCTAGGTTTATATTCTGCATATAAAATTACTTTATAGTAAGCTATTAAAATCTATTTGGTGGCGTGATGCATTGTAGTTGAAACCGAGTTTAGCTCCGACCACAGTTTTACAGAGGTTTGGTTAATCATCCTTAAAAGAAGAAAGCTTCACTAGAACATTCATGTTTATGCACTCTGGTAGAACTATTCAAGTGAAAATGTTGGAATGCCAAATTAAGATTGATAGCCGATGCTATGAAAATAACACATTTCACTGCACCTGGGTCCGAGCCCTGGCATGCATGTCTGTCACCCTTGCGGTGCCTTAAATACCTATTGGGTTTGCAGAGCATTCAGTGGGTCGTGGAGATTAGTCGTGGTGCGCGCAAGCTGGCCCGGACACCCCACATAAATAAAAAAAAATAAAAATAAAAAAATAACACATTCCATGATACTTGGAAAAATGAATGCACTGCACAAGCATGAAAAAACCTATTGGCATACAGGGAGTCGGTATTCTGTCTCGAGTAAAAATGGAAGAGTAAATTACTCAATAATTATAATTATAAATTGGAAAATTACAATAAGAACAATTCTTAGACAGATTCGAGGGAGTCCGGAACTCCTACCAGAAAGAATTCTAGATTATTGAAAATGTTCACATGACCTTCAAGTCAACCAAATTGTCCTAATACTTGACTTGTTGAAATTTATTCCTTAAACACAACAGAATATATCTCCAGGCTTGTATCCTATTAACCAATTTTATCGATCACATTTCTTGCAATCTTTTAGCCAGTTTATTCTTTCCCCAACGTCGCCGTATGCTTCGTAGCTGGGCTCCACCTTCATGGCCGTGATTGATGGTGACCACGGCCGGTTACACACCACCTGGTTCGTCCTCAACACCTTCAGGTACCGAAGTAGGGGGAGCTGAGGATTTTGCTGCTTCTTTCTGATAAATACAACACAGGAAGCAAAAAATAATGGTGAAAGATCTTAGTTGCATAAGAGGCGCAAAATTTCTGTACCCCTTGCAGGATTCTGCTTGATTTTGTCAGAAATTTAATTATATTGCTACATCATGCAACTTGTTTGTCGGTAATAAACATAAACTGATGAGGTCAGGGACTTACTTTGCTTTCCAAAAACCTGCTGAGGCCCTCGAGACTGGTTTTAGGATTTCTAATCTTCATTAGTTCACCAGCAACTTCAGCTGGGCTAACTTGAACTTCTGAAATAAGCTTTTCAATGCGAGGAAAAAGATCGTGGTTCCATATGTCCAAGTAATTGGCTGCAAGCTGCTTGAAGGTGGAGAATGTGCAATATGAAAGATTAATGTGCATGTCCATTCGGCCTGCTCTTAGTAAGGCAGGATCGATTCGATCTTTGTAGTTAGTAGTGAAAACTATAACCCTTTCATCTCCACAGCAGGACAACAGGCCATCAATGGCGTTGAGAAGTCCAGAGAGTGTCACAACCTTTTCCTGACAGGATCAAACATAGCTTCAGTTCTGAAGTACCATGTCGTCGGGTATCTAACCTTAACCAGGCGAAATTAAACATATACAAGTCTAACAGCAGATCTCCAGAGATTTGATACGTGATTTGACTAAATAAATAACAATATCTTGGACCTGAGTAGTTGAGAAAATACTTTTTATGTGGAATCGGAAAAGGAAACATAAAAGAATCCTACCTGAGACTTTCTAGGAGTTTTATCATGATCCGATGGATGATCCCCGGCTTGACGATTCTGAAGCTCAATCGAGCAGTCGATATCTTCAACCACGAGAATTGAACGATTGGACATGTGAAGCAACAAAAACTCCAGGGAAGAATCAGAACTGACAGCAGACAAGTTCAAGTTGTAGATGTCAAAATTAAGATGGTTGGCCATGGCTGCTATCAAGCTTGATTTCCCAGTTCCTGGAGGGCCATACAATAAATAGCCCCGTTTCCATACCTTACCAATCTTCCTGTAATAGTTCTTTCCTTTGATGAATCTATCAAGATCCTCTATAACTTTCTGTTTGAGGTTTCCATCCATTGCCAGCGTATTGAAAGTCATAGGGTGATCCAAGTTGATCCCCTTACAGCTCCATCCATCGCGTCCCCCGCGAGTAGTGTAGAACTTAACTACCCTGTTTTGATCCTTAATTTTCTTAGCCATTTCAATAATGTAAGGCAGATACTTGTTCCTGACCATACTCGCGTGTCGCTTATGAAAACGAAGTTCATACCATTTCAACTCATACTGGAGTGCTGGATTGAATTCACTGCAGTAAGACCACTTCATGTCCACACCATGGAAGGTGTCGACAATCTTGCAATTCCTGTCGAGGCCATACGCCAGTGCCTTGATGTTTTCGTTCTTGCCAACCGTGATTCGTTGTGGCACCGATGATGTAGAGAAAGCATTGCTGCCAAGGTATATCATCAAGGCATGAAAGAGATGGTTTTTTGATCCTTCATGCGAGTCGCTAATAACCATGGTGAGTTCTGAGGAAAAACGACTCGCTAATTCCTGCAAACAACTGCGTATTTCTTGCGGAACGAAATCATTGATGGAGCTACGTAGAATTGCAACAGAAGCTATCAGGGATAGACTTGACCCCATTTGCTCTTTTCTTGATCTTCTTTTTACTGCTTGCCAGCCCTTCTTCTTCTCTGTTTTTTGGTATCTGTTGTTAAGATCTTCGATGGTGCATTCCTATTTATAGAGGAAAGAAAGAGCTCAAGACGTCAATGTAAATGCAAAGACTAAGTCCAGAAAATGAAACCAGTTTTCCATGAACTTCCTGTGTAATCATGGGAAATTCTGCGCTGTGGATTAGGATAATACGGTTGCTGCTAGTGCACAGAAGGTTACTTGGAATTGCAAGGTAGATCAAGTCGCAAGTGATATTCTGATAGTACATATTACGTCCGAAAAGAAGCTTCAATTTGCTAGAAATTTGATTAATTCCTACATTCCTTTCCTTATTAAACTGGAAATCTGGAAAGGAGTGCATAAATTAATCGATCTAGGGGAGGCTTATCCAAAATAATAACTAGTAAACACTTACTAACTGATAACTTGTAGAAGAGGTTGCTTGTAAGAATTAGTCTAACAGAGTCAGTGTAGAGGCAAAGTGCTAGAAATTGTCTGGAAGCATTTGACGGGCCGCCGACTCCCCCAGTGATAAGATAACACTCGAAGCTTCAATGCTCAGGTATGGACTGACTTATAAATCAATTATGATTTTAAAAAATTAAAAATATCATTTTATTTTTTTCCAACAACATTATAGTGGGGAAAAAAAAAATTAGTCCGAGCTAAATTTTAGATTAATAAATCTCTAAGTTACCCACAAGATATTATAATACTACACTCCCAAAGCTTCAGAAAATCCCAAAAATTAAATGAGTTTTTCAAAAATAATTAAGAGATTATTCATTAACTATGAAATTTCAAATTATATATTTATATATGTGAAGTGTTTTTATCTTGACTTATTCATGTGCCACTTAGCATGAAATTCCCGACTATGTTACCATTACATTACAATCATGAAGAGTATCTCGGTGAGAAAAACACTTTGAATATATATATATATATTTTACTGTGCTCAAATAGAAGTACGCTTCTCCTCACGATTGTTAATTTCTAGGGGTAGGTAGGCCGTGAAAAATATAAATCTTGTATGTGTATGACACGTCACGATTTGACTAAGAAATAATTTGTTGTCGGTGACTCGGTATAAAAAAGTTGATCCAAAAATTCCTTTTTTTTAAAAAAAAAAAATTCCATCTTGTATAACAAATCTTATTTCGCCTCGAGGAAACCCAAAATTATGCATGTACCAGTTCCAACCAAGTAAACCGGAAAAAAAAAAAAAAAGGAAGGCGGATTTATTATGCATATATACGTATTTTACCATTTATTTAAATAATGTAATTATTATTTTATCCTTTAAAAGACCAATAGCATTAATGTTAGGGGTATTTAAATTTTTTTACATGACTACAAAGATTGACCATGGGTAAATGTACCTTTTGTGATTTTTAATACATAGTAAAACTATTTAATTATTCTCAAATTAAATTTTTTTTAAACAAATATAAAATGATTTTTTAAAAAAAAATAAGGTAAAAAAACAACTTTACTATTGAAATATATAAAAAAATATATGTTCAGGGCCTTTTGATCTTTTCACTACATGTTTTTTTTTGTTATTACTCTTTTCATGGAGAGAAATTTGATCTTTTTACATAGATCAAATGTTATTTTGATGGAAAAAGTTGTTGATGCATGTGAGGGAGGTGTTGTGAACTCTGGTTTGCAAGTGCGGTGTCGCCTATGGTAAAAAAATATTCTTTCATTGTGTCGGTGAAATTATCTCCATGTTTTCTTCCTATCGCTGTAGCATATGTCGATAATGATGAGCAATTTATTGCCTATGAGCTATTTTTTTCCCTCCTTTCTTTCATAAATTATAGTTTGATCTTTTTTATTATTGGTGTTTCAGCTTCAGTCCTTGTTTTTTTGATTTTCTTTTTGGTTTTTGCTCTTTTTATGAAAGTCTTATTTGTTATTAATTTCGCCTTTCAATCTTAATTCATGATGTATTATTTTTGGTGACTCAATTCTAATTCTTTTGATTTTGATTTTTTTTCTTGGTTCTTTTGTAAAGATTTCATTGGTTTTTAATTTTACTATTCGATCTAAATTCATTGTGTATCATTTTTTCTAATAAAATCTTTATTCTTTTTATATTTTTTGTCATTTTATTAGAGTTATTTGTATTTTTAATTTCACCCTCTAATTAAAAATTTAAAGTTGCCCTCATATTTACCTTTTATTTAGGTTTTTATCCTCATTATTTAATTATTATTTTTTGGTTTGGATCATTTTATGTCATTGATTTTTTTTAAATGTCATCTTTCATCATTTGATTTATTATGAATTGGTTTTGTGTTTTTTATGTACAATACTTTTAATTTAATAACTTTGATCATGATTTTAAAAAGGTTAATGCAGATTAAAATCCTTTTTCTTGTTTATTTATTTTCTGATTTCATAATTGAATATTTTTTTGTTTGAATATTGGATTAGCAGGCAATGGTGCTCTTCAGCAACCGCTACGCTTGAATTCAAGCTGGTCTGCTGGGGGTGTTGATGATCATGGAGTTCAGCAGAATTCTACTTGGCCTTTAGGTGGAAACCAGATTTCCGGACTTTCATATGCAAACTCTCCAAATCAACCTCCTCCTGCTCCAATTCCAAAAGGATGGCAAAATGGTGACTGGCTATGCAATTGTGGCTTCCATAATTACTCTTCCCGTGCGTAGGCATGATCATGCTCGCTGGGTATATTCTTAGATATTCACTTCCATTTTGGATCATAGCATCTTACATGATGCATTTGCAGTGCAATGCTTCCTCGCCACCAGGTATAGTTCAATTATTATTATTATTTTGTAGCAAAGAGCAATAGGAAACTCTGTGCTGCTTGTTGTTTGTTTGTCTATTATGATTGGAAGTAAAGCAGACATGTTTGGGAGTTTATGCTCCCTATCCCAGTTTTAGTACAGTATTAGCTCCAAATTGGCAAGCACCAGTGCAAATTCCACATCAATTAACCATGCCTGCACTGCTTGGAAAAGGGTAAATGTTGATTGGGTTGATCCTTCTACACAATACCCCGTTAGCTGACTACACAGAATAATGAGAAACTATATAAACTGGGAAAGGGCCATCCTTTGGTGCAATGATAGAACTCTTTTGATTCTAAGCGCTGAAGTGTATGTTTATTCTTGAGTGTGTGATCTATATATCACCTTCACGGTCTTGATTCTGTAAGATGCACCCTGGATCTGTATAAATGAAATTAAACAGAAAACTGATAAATTACTCTGTTGAGTAAGAGCTTGAAGGAAATGTGCTGCAAAATGATGAATCACTTGGAATATTGGAAGTTGAACTTGAAGACTAAATCTAGTGCTCTCTCTAACCTAACAGAGTGTGGATAAATATAGTAACTCCAAGTATCTGTACATGCACATATAGCATACACCATATTGTAACATGAGATTGATAAACGAATTTCTCAATTACATTGTAATACTTTCCGCTTTGCATAGCAGAGCCAAGCCATGGCGAAATGGAGATTGGATGTGCAAAAATTGCAACAATCATTACTACGCATCTCGAGCATGGTGCAACAGGTGAGCAACTAAAGTATTTTCTTAGCTCTACAGTATTAGTCTTTTGGGCAGAACTTGCTCAATTCATAGTTCTGTGTGTAATGCAGGTGTAAGACGCTAAGAGACATGGTTCCTTAGCCAGTCAATGTCTTATAGCTGTGAATTTCTAGAGGATCTAGAGTTTTGTAGCTTGCAATGCCCTTCGTTTGAGGTTCTGTTTCAGTTTTGTGCAACATCTGGTTTTAGAAAAATGCAAGTCGTATAGGCGTACATTAGGACATTAGGCACTAGAAATTAGCGGTGGTGATATTGAAGGACAAAGAACATATTCAAAGCTTGCTTGTTTTCATATGTGATCGATAGCAGTGAGAACATGCGTGCGTGTTGAGAGAGAAATAGAGGGAGAGAGAGTTCCATTCCATATTCAAAGCTTGTTTTCTTTTCTCAACTGGAGTAATAAAGTTTCATTTGTTGGCTTGAGCATTGGTTCTTATGGATTCTTTCCCTGTCCACTGCAATTATTTTGAAGTAACTTGTTAGCGATTGCTCCTGCCTTCTGCTTGCTTATTCGGGATTCATCCAGGGAAGGGATATAACTCAGCAACAGAGTGTCACCTTGACGTATTCAAGATGACGGAGACATTGCTTAAAGCTTCGAGACGAAGCATAAGCAACCTCATTGAAACTGGACGGAGTAGATTTATGCTTTGATAATGTAACAACTGATTGCATAATCGATTCATAGCAACAAAATCTCTATAAACCCGAGCAAAAAAGGCAGTCTCTTTTCATTCATCTTGGCTATGAACCCTTTGATATGAAGGAATAGAGGAGTGGTGTCCTCCTGGTAAAGATTAGGAGAAGGCCCTACAAACCGGGAAAGTATCCAACCTCCAATCATAATGAAAATGGAAGCATAAGCAAACTTGTTGAGCCACAACAGCATAACCTTCTCTCCAAAGTAAAGTTCAATATTCTTTTCAGAAAGGTTCTTATCTTCCCACTTCCTTCGAGCAGATGCTTGGGCCTTTACAGCTAGCTAGCAAAGTTCGTCGAAGTTATCCCTTTTATCTACTGTTGGTGTGTGTTTGGTGCAAGGCATCCGAGTCTCTTTTTGCGGGAAGACCCTATCATTTGATGCCATGAAAGTACCCTCATGCTGTTTGGTATTATGTTTTTAAAATATTTTAAAATTAATATATTTTTGATATTTTTAAATTATTTTAATGTGTTGATATTAAAAATAATTTTTAAAATTAAAAATATTTATATTAATATAAAAATATTTTAAAAAATAATCAGAAAATAACCATAATAATTAGACTCCCGTACAAACTATTTGATGGAAACCATTGATGCTTCATAATGTGTTACAGTCCTTTTTATTTAATTTTTTTTTTTTATATATGATCATATGGATATTCTTAAATTAAAAAAGAGAACCGAATCGAAACTATATATCTCATCCCGAAACTACCCCTCATAAACTCCCAATTTAACATTCCTACCCAGCACTCACCCGACCGACCAACCTTTTACTACCACCTCCCACACAATCCTTGTGTTTCAAGTCATCTCTCTCTGTCCCTCTCTGTCTGTTTGACTGTCTCTCCCCCCTCTCCATATTTTTTTCTCTCCGAGTCACCAGCTCAGTCAGGCATGACCGAACTCAATAATCCCGATAACGATGACCGCTTCCTTGTTCAATATCAACCGTCTGAACTTAAAATCGCTTCGGAATTTCTTTCCACTTGGCTCCCTTTCCTCTCTCGGGATCTCTGCCGTGACTGCACCGAAACTCTCTCCGATCGCATTCGCTCTCTCTCAGGTTACAACAACTTTTTTTTCCCGAACCTTTTTTTTATTGTTTTTGTTTATTATCTTAGCACCAGTTTTTTGAAATAATAAATATACTGTTAACTGATCAGTTGAATTATAGAAATTAGTTTTCTTTTTTTAATTTACAGTGTTGATAGTTAGAAAACTAGGGTTTCTTTTGTTTGATGTTAACTGTAACTGTTGCTATTTTATTTTATTTTGTTGAAGTTGAGGTTTGTTGTTGTTTGAATTTTTAACTGATTTGGAGCCTTTGGTTGTGGCGTGTTTGGTAGTTATTGTAGAGCTCAAAGGCGAAGATAAGAGTGGGGATTTTCCGAAAATGAATGATAAAGTGGAATTGTCCAACGGGAACCGCTGTTCTGATGTTAATTGTGAAAATAATTCCGTGGGAAGTTTGAAAGAGGAAGATGACACGAATTCGATAGTTAGTTGGAAAGATGGAACACCTGGGTCGTCTGAAACACCACCCATGTCGGAGGCTTCTACTAGTGGATTTCATAGTGAGAGGCACTTGGGGATGTCTTGGGCGGATATGGCACAGGATGATGAACTTGCAAAAGAAGAGAAGGAGCTAGAACAGCAGGAGTTGAATAAACGGGAAGTTAATGTGAATGATTCATCGGGTGATTTGAGGATAACAAAGGTTGTTGGGAAGCCTACTACATTAGCGTATGAGCAGAGCGAATACAATCGGTTTATGAATGTGAGGAGGAAGAAGGAGTTTATGTGTTATGAGAAGGTTAATGGGAAGCTTACTAATATTCTCCAGGGTCTTGAACTTCACATGGACATTTTCAGTACCGCGGAGCAGAAGAGGATTGTTGATCATGTGTATGCTCTTAAAGAGAAAGGGAAAAGGGGAGAGTTGAAAGGTTGGTTTCATAAAGCTTTTATCTTTCCCAGGCTATTCTATTTGATCTGTTGATAAGTTTTCCACTTAAGCCAATCAGAAATTCTTTTCTATGTGCTATGTTACATTTTTTGCTTAATTGCTCTGGCCACTGGTTTTATGTTCCTAAATAGCTGCAGTTCCTAGTATGTATGCACACTCATATTTATTCCATGCATGTCAATTTGTGTTAGTAAAAGCACAGTTGAAACTAGTGGTGTTCATGTTTTTCATCACTGTCAAAGAACACCATATAGCACACTAGCACCAATCATTAAATCCTACATTTTCCATGGTGACAATTGACTGAGAGATTTTGACTGTTTAAAGCATCTTCTTTTTGTGCTTCGTAGCTTCATATGCCAATAAATCTAAGCTTTCGTCATTTATTTGACACTTTTTGGTCCCTAAAACAATTGACTATGCTGTTCCTTTAAAAATAAAACATTGAAGTTATGAAAGTAGATTTCAACTTATTCGGTATTATCTATTTGAGCATTCCATATTATCTTCCCGTGCATGTTATAAATTGGTCGCACATTGTTGTTGACATGGTTTTGCACTTTCAGCTCAGTACTCATGGTGATTTGCAGACTGATGTCAAAACTCACCTTGAGTGTTGATTGGTAATCTTTTGGAATTTTATATTCCTCTTCTAATTCTATGGACCTGAGCACATCCATGGTAGACTCATTAGCTTTGAATAGTGCCTTAGCTGTTTTTCACATACAGTATATTGATCTGTTAGATGTGCTTTCATCAGTAGAGGTATGAATTTATGTCCAAGATTTTCTCTTTGCATCATCTGTGAGTTGAACTGGGTAAAACATTTCTCGGAAAATGTTCAATTATTTGATATATCATTGTTCATAACTGGGAGGGAATTTCTGAAATTTTCTCCCAGAACAAACGTATTCAGCTCCACAAAAGTGGATGAGGGGGAAAGGGCGTGCGACTCTTCAGTTTGGTTGTTGTTACAATCACGCAACAGTAAGTTCTGATCCCTTTGCTACATATCATCAACGTTCTGAATTATGGCAATTCAAAAATTTGAATTTCAAAACTGCACAAACGTTAAAACTTGAAATATTAACACTATGGTGGCAGGATAAAAATGGAAATCCGCCAGGCATTGTCCAGGATGAAATGGTAGATCCTATACCTGTCCTTTTTAAAGTGATCATCAGAAGGCTGGTCAGATGGCATGTTATCCCACCAACCTGTGTGCCGGACAGTTGTATTGTTAACATTTATGAAGAAGGGGACTGTATACCTCCTCACATTGATAACCATGATTTTGTTCGACCTTTCTGTACTGTCTCTTTTCTTAGCGAGTGCAACATGCTATTTGGATCACACTTAAAGATTGTGGGTGTGGGTGACTTTGATGGTCCAATCGCAATCCCTCTTCCTGTGGGGTATGTCTAACGTGCAATCCTTGACATCAATTCCTTCCTTTTATATCATTTTTTTTCTTTCTTCTTTTCCTGTCTAATATATTGTGCATGATCTTGTAATTATTGTCCTGATATTTGTTTGTACTCCACCTTTGTTGTCATGGAACCAAAATCTTAGTCATGTTTGTTTTCAGATCTGCTCTTGTCTTAAATGGAAATGGAGCAGACGTAGCTAAGCATTGTGTGCCTTCAGTTCATAAAAGGAGGTAGCGATTGAATCTTTTTGAATCTTCTTGAGCTGTTCTTATTGTATGGTGTTTATTTAATTTGACTCCTTTCCCACCTTGTATTTGTTATAGGATATCAATCACATTTAGAAAAATGGATGAAGCAAAACGACCTATAGGTTTTATTCCAGATCCTGGTTTGCAGGGAATTCAGCCATTGCCACAGGAACCGGATGAAACAAGGAGGTTAAATTCTCCTAAATCTGAGCCTTACATGAAAAGGCGGCCATTTAATAAAGAGGGTAAGATGGAAGGAAGGAGATCTGCAGAGAATGGTTCTCAATCAGAACCTGATTACTCAAGTCAGAGTCGACGACCGGCTGCATATCAGCGAAGGATCAAGGAAAATATAGGTAGAGCTGATGGATGAGGTCCAGCCTTCTGTTGCCTGAAGTGTACCTTTCAGATTTGGACATCCGAGATTTAATTGCTGGCATGTTTGAGTATTCTGTGGAAAGCGGATATGGAGGTTGAGGTTTATTTCAGTGTCAGAGAGTTCTGCTGAATATATTAATCTATACGTAGCAACACCTAATGCATTCTTCATTTGATTCTGATCAAAGCAAATATTTACATGGGTGTTTACGGTGGAATAGAGAGCAATATTGAGTCTGTTGTCTATTAGTGAATCCCAAGGTTTTAGACATTACTACAACAATTGTGTGGCTGGAATCCTTTGAAGATCTGGTTTTGGTTAAATCCCTGATCGGATTATCCGTATCTCGAAGCATGGCTCGGTATTTGAGTAATTGGATCAACTAGCTTGATGCTGCCTGCTTGTTTGTGAATTGTGACGGATTGCTGCTTTGTTGAGGTGCCGTTAAGCTGATTGGTGACAGAAGTACTCCACCACATCATAGCGCGAGATGGCATTATATTGTTTTCATATTCTACACTGGAAGTCTTGAGAGTAGTATTGTAATTGTTTTTCCTAGACCTGATTGGTGTCAACAAATTATTGATTTGCAAGTTTATTAATATTAGCTTTGGTGAATTCTGAGTTGAATGTCTTTTATACCTGTTCCGGTTACATGCTAGGTTGGCTTGCCGTCGGACCGCATTTAATAA